TGGTTTTTTAATCCTTTTTAATATGATTATTCATTTTCAATAACACTATTATTCATAATGTATTTTTGTGTTAACTGCATTAAATTTATGTATTTTTTTTTGGGATAAAATTGATTTTTTCCTTCTGATGGTTATTCATCATTTAAATATGTACTTTGCAGAAGTTCGGTGTGGACTGTGTTGCCTAACCTAATGTAAAGTGGATTAGGTTTGATATTTACCAATCCGTTCAACCATTAACAATTAATCAATATTTTAGTCAAAATAGAGTTTTGATTGAATGTGAAATCTTACTTATTGTAATGTTCTCTTTACTTGATCAGCGGTAAATAAATGCTCATGAACTCGATAGGTCGGGAATCAAAGATTTGGCAGAGTTGCTGAGTATCGACGAATCTTTCAAGACCTTATATATTAAAAACAATGACTAATTTTTTTGTTCAATTTTGATATAGTATAATACATAATTAGAAGTTTATCAGCTTAGTTGCTAACATCAACTCATTGTAAAATATACTCTTGTTAGTTTTTTTAATCAATGTTATTCATTCTGTTGCGCATTATTCATCCACTAACGATATATTATTCTCATTAAAGTACAATTATTCATCTTGCAAAATTATATCTATTATTTATTTTAGTATTGTTGTTCATCTAGGATAGGATCAGTATTCATCAAGGTTTGGATCGTTATTCATCTTTGTCGATATCGTTATTCATTTCAAAATTTAAATTTACTTATATGTAATTTTGTCACTATAAGAACACCATTATTCATCCATATCATTATTCATTGATAAATATACCATTATTCATCCAAACAAACATCATTATCTATTAAAATATTCCAAATTTGACGCTTAATTCTCCGGATTTCATTACTTAAAAAAAAATAATTCAAAAGAAACATGTGCTGAAAAATAGGTGCGGGGGTAACTGAAATTTAGGGGAAAAAAATCAATTTGTGTAGAAGGAGAGTGTATTACACATGGCTATGAGGTACACCTTGCAAAGGGTTCCTAGGTGCTTGATATTATTTGTCGAGTAGTGGTACATACTGGAAACACTATATTTTTTTTTAGAATAAAACATTTAATAATTTACAATAATAGTGAAACCTTTAAACAACACTTTTTCTTCTTCCATCTTATCATTTTTTCTTTGAATGCATCCTGATGGATGAATGTTGTTGTAACCTCTCATGATCTCATCCTTTTTTCTAGAAAAAGAAAAATCACATCTTTACCATCTCAATCAACCTTTCCATAACCCCTCTCAAGCCATAACTTTGAAAATTTATTAGAGGGACACTTCACGTCCAAAAATTTTGCCCTACTTAAAGCTTTCTAACAAATTATCAAGGAAAAAAAATGTAACGGTTATTTTTTCAGAGAAAGCCGAAACAATGTTAAATTATTCGATATCATTATTATAAACAAAAGTTTCAAATACTTTGATTAAATTCCATATTCTATAATTGGAAATAATGTAAAATTACTAGTCAAGGTCCAAATTAATCATAAACAGTACACAGATTCTTGAGGTCTAAATTTGAAACTAGAAGTAAAGCCCCAATGGTAATAAGGTTGGTGCGACTGGGAAGAGAGAAACACGTGATTTTGGGCCTCCAACATGGCGCATGCTTTTCAGATGGTTGCTCATAAATGTTGGTAGGAGTATTTTGTTTGCACCCTCCTAATAATAAAAGAAAAGAAATCATATTATTTATAAACAAAACCCGAAATTCTTTTGCAGTCGTCTGTACGGTACCGGGGCGCTTTTCTGCACCAATACCCAATAGCTTCTGACCCTACACCCTAGACCCCAACCAATCACCGTATCTCAATAGTTACACTTTTTCTTTTCTTTCTTTTGGAAGGATATACACCTATTTACATTTGAACATACTTTGTATATCCAGATTCATAGGGGATTTTTTTTTTTTTGTCTTTTCACTTTCTTTTCCTCATTTGTTTTGTTGGTAATTTTAGAGATCACAGAGGATCACGAGATGATTATGAGTGTTATGATAATGGGAATATATTTTATATATATATATATACATTTCATAGATAGTAAAAATAAAATAAAATAACTAATTCTAACATTTCAGAAAAGGGTGAGATTTTAAGTGAAACTAGATTCTCGGCTCGGGCATGAGAATAATCATAATTGTTTATAAAATATTAAAAAATATATATATAAAGACAAAAATTAGTTTTTTTTAAAAAAAAGTTAGTTATACATCTAACCACATTGAATTTTCAATATTAAACTAAATTCCTTTAGGTTCTAAACACGTTCTTTAACAGAATTTTCCTCTAGAGCACTTGATTAAGATCCAACAAATGTAAAAGAACAATTATACAACCAATACCACCAATTTTCCTCTAGAGCACTTGATTAATAATCTCTAGCCTTGCACCTATTGGATCCTATTTCCAATTTTCTATCGCTAAACCTGGGAAAATATGCAATTAATAAAAAATGCACAACTTTTTATACAAAACAAAACAATATTATATATGCAATTAGAGGTACATGTTTCAATTGACTGTAACACTTGGAATTATGAAAGAAAAATTTGACGGTTTAGAGTCCTTCATGCTCGAGTTTTAGAAAAAAAAAAAAAAAGGGAGAATATCCCTTTAAATGTTGACAATCGTCCTCATCAGACTTGAGCAATACTCTCAGCTGCTACCATTATATATTTTTCTATTTCCAATGAAAAATGACACATACCAAATCCTGTTGTTGTTCATTAACATCTTCTCTCACATCTTCCCGTGTTACTATTGCTTTCTAATTTTTGTCCATTTAATTTCAACAATGTTGTCACTGATCTCGACAATTGTTGATGTTAATGATTGCGATACGAATGAGAAAACACTATTTTTTCGATTGCACTAATTGACTAAAAGGAATAAATTTAAAATTTCATCGACTATTTTTTGTTGGTACAATATTTGTAGATTTTTTTGTTTTTCCAAGTAGTGGAAATAAATAAAAAGTTGATCTTGAGATTTGAGAATGTTGCAATATGATGATATCTAGGATTTTGGAAATTAATTGCGAAAGATAAATGATAGAGTAATTTTAGGAACAAGTGCTTTTAATAGATAAATGAATTTTTTCTTTGTTTTTATGAGCTTTAGTTTGGGCGGAAAATCTTCTTTTATATAGTTACCACGTGGTTTAAGTGGCAGATGCTTTCAATAGATAAAAATAAATGTTACAGACTACGGGGTTTGTAATATACTACTACTAGTCTCATTGATTTGTTAGGGGAGAAAAAATGCAATTATTAAAGAGGAAAAATTGAGAGGGTTTTTTGGGGAAAAAATAGTTACTCAAAATTACAATCACTGTGTGAGGAAGGATAAACAGGACAGAAGGCATGCATTCGGTGCTGGAATTGGCCCGACGAATTCTGTCAGAGCCAATCCCTCTATTATTTATGCTGGAAGCCCTTTTGGATTGAAACCCTGAAGAATGATTCCGAATTCAGTATCGGCGTCCTCAAACATATGCTTTTGGTAAGTTGTGTATTAATAGGTCATTACCTTAATTAAACAACAGTTTCCACTTCTTTACAATGTTATATAACCTTGAATTAATTCACAACACCTGTTATGCTTCAGGATTTGTTTGTAGTAGCTGGCAGAGACACAACTTCGGGCACAGTGGAGTGGACAATGGCAGAATTACTCTGTAACCCAAAAAAACACTCAATACAACAAAGTTGGGCTATTGCATTCCCTTCCGTTGGGACACTTTTGAGAACAAAGTTGGGGCATTACATACAAAATAGGACATTTGGCAAACTAGTGTACCAATAAAAATGGAAAAATACCATATAACCATTAAATTAAAGTACTATTAGTCATTAAGAAAATATGCAAGTAAAATTGGGTGTGATGCTTGCTTGATTGTGCACTTAAAAAAAGGTCCCAAACCTTTTCCATTCTCATCAACTGCAATATTTTCTATACGTAACCAAAAAAAAAAAGCCCAATCTTTACAATTCTGCTATCTTAAAAGTTTATATCTTCTCATTCCCTTTGAGGTAAGCGTTTTTTTAACTTCTAAAACCAACCAACGAATTCACAATTGCGATCGAGTGGATACATTTTCAACGATCTATCGCGTTGAATTCGGCGCATGGAATCCAGAGCAGCGGCTCCAACTAAAGAATAAATTTGTTTGTTTATCAGAGAGATTCGAAGGGAGTGATGCCGATTGTAGAAGAAATTCAAAAATCGAAGCAAAGATTACCAAATGCAGTCTTCCTCCTTTCTCCTAAAAATCGGTAAGTGATGAGCATTCTTCGTCATGACTGGTTAATGAAGCGCATAGATCTTCCTTTGTTCGTGAAAGAACCCTATTTTCTTAAATTGATTGTTTCTATTTGGGCAAATATGTGTTTTTTCCTTTTGGTTCTTAATTTGTGTCTTCTATCGTGCATTCCCATTATTCCATATGCTTTAGTTAAGTAATTTTATTTGTTAAGTGGAATTACGTTGGAAACTAATCATCAATTTAGATGTATAATTGTTGCCTTGAATCCATAAGTCACAAAGATAACCTTGAAGCTTTGATAATCGCTTTCAAACTTAGCTCTGGATATTTTTATAACATATGAACTTTTTAGATGGCAAATGGAACTAGATACATGTACTGACATTGTGATTAATTAGCTTTCTTTTCAACGGATATAATAGGTGCGTTCAATTCTAGAACATTAGGGTGTATAAGCTTGATATAGTATTGATAAGGCGGGTTCGGAAGGATGTAAAATATGACGCAAAATTTTGCATTTTGATGTTTAATCTCCTTTGAATATTGAGTTGATTTTTTTTTTTGTTTAATATTATAAATGGCACCACAATTCAAAACATCTAAATAATGATAAAAAATTAGTTCTTCATTGGTAAAAGAATCAGTGTGGAGGAAGGTTTTTCTGTCATATTTTCCTAAAATGTTTCATTGTTTCGTTGTAGGGGCTCTCAACTCAAACTAATGTTTATCATCATACATTTTTTTACAGTAAAACCCAAAAATAAATAAATAAAAAAATATACGCATCAGCCTTAAAAGTTAAAAACAAAGAATAAAACTACCAACATATTGGTATTGGCTCTAGGCACCCAACAACCAACCCGCCGAACAAGAAGGGATGACGACGACTAATACAGTAGTATCTATAATCACGGCAGCCACCGCCACAGCCGGCGGAAGAGAGAAGGGAGAAGAGAATAGCATTTTGAAGTTATTAAGAAGGAATGATGAAAGAAGCAGCACTAGTATGGGTATTAATATTGGTGGGAGCAGCGAGAGGAGCAAGAAGAAGAAGAGTTCATCGTCTTCCGATAGGGTTTGGTTCAGAAGAAGAGATGTAGAAGGCGGGGTGGTGAAGATGATGCCTACAAAGCATGAATTAGATGATTATGATGATGATGATGATATTGTTGAGGATGAGGTGGACCCTTTTAAGAAGTATTTATCCTACTTAGAGTCTCGGGATGTTGAGAAAAATGGCCCTTATGTCCATGATTTGGACGGCGACACCCGTATAGCTAGGGGTGTCAGATCGGGCGGATTCGGTCGGTTCGGGTGAATTCGATTCGGATTAATCGATTTTTTTCAGTCACGTGAACTGCCCGAAACCAAACCGCAGAAACTATTAATCCAAACTGAACTACCCGAATAAGTACTCGGGTTTGTCGGTTCGATTTCGGTTCAACCGAATTAAGACATTCAATTTTTTTTTTTGTCAATTACAAAAACAGTCATGCTAAAGACTATTACATATGGTTTCTAAAGACTATTACAGTCGTGCTCAAATACTTCAAAAAGACAAGAAATTTCAATGATCCAAAAACAGAATCCAACTTTAGAAATTAGAACACAATTGCAGAAATTTCAACTTTAGTCTTCAAACTTTGCACTTGGCAGCAAGCATCTTACTTTCGAGGTCACAAATTCAAAAAGACAACAACCCTTTCAATATCATTAACATTATCAACAATTTGAGGCATCCTACAAAAAAATAAAGAAAATATTAATTTACACTTCACAGCAAAAAATAACAAATAGACTCTGCCTTGTTGCAACAACTATAGCCAAATTCACAGTTGACACAAATTTCACACATCAAAATTCATTTCTTCTAAATGTGAGAATTGAATAAGGAGGAGGGAAAGCCCAGAAAGGCAGAAAGATATTCCCAATCAATCCTTTCTCCATAAATAAATTTAAAAAACAAAAACTAGAACGTTGAATTTGGAATGTCAAATAGTGAAAGAGAAACCTGTTCTTGAATTTCTGTTGCAGGTCCACAAGCCTAATCCCCGTGCTTCTTATAATTTGGAATGCAAAAACATTGGAAGATTAAAAATGATAAAAGGAGAACGACAAAAGGAAATAAGAAAAGCATGGTACAGCAAAACTAATAAGCCCTGGCTTTTGTGTGACTACAAAATGCGCGCTCCTCAATCTTGAAGCTGTTTCCAGCTCTGCTACAAGATTCTCATAGTCTGAAAGACATAAGACATTTAGAAATCTCCTAGCAGCTAAAGACCAAATATGTGCAAAGAAATAGTACGTGACTTCCCCTGAAAATTCATTTTAACTTCATAAACATTATAAACATAAATTTTAAGTCGGTAAAATCAGCTGCGGCAAATTCCGAAGACAAAACTGGAGCACAAAATTAATTTTTTTTTTATAGAAAAAGGCTCTGCAAAATTCAAAAGTATAAAAATCAAGTCTTCCAGCAGCTCTCATAACAAAAAAATGAAATCAAAGCGTAATAGTCATAAGAATTAACTCAGACAAAAAGAAACCCATCTGAGAGCTTCGAAACATGAAAAGAAAAAAAAAATTAGGGAAAAACAAATTTAACGTACAATAGCGAAGCTACAAAAATTGACCTACACCTTCAATAAAATTTTGCAGGTTTATTCTGATTGAAACATAAAGAAATTTTTCACGCACGGAATGATAATTTTACCTGAAGTAAGAAAATTGGTCCAGAACATTGAAAAATAAAAACAAGGGGGATACGGGAATCATCAGCCAGGCACAACACAGAAATACAAAATTTCAATCATTAATTCTGGTAAACATATACCTTGAGAAATAAGGATTTGGGGAAAGTGAGAACAGTTAGGCAGAGAGGATTTGCTGCTTTGGTTTGTTTCTTTTTCCGGCAACGAGAGAGGTAGGAACTGGAACTAACAGAGAGCTAACGAGGTAGGAAACTCGTCGGTCAACAACTTCAATTTTGCCGGTCAATCGACAGCTAATTAGATCACAAATTACTTTTTTTTTTTCTGGAAGAGATGTTGTATAGGGTGGTCGGACTGTTTCAGGGGATGACCGGCTGGATGATCGGATTGGTGAACGGATGAGCTTAAGAAAGGAACGGCCGACGGCGTCGCCTCCTTTACATTTAGGCAGCAGCGGCCGAAAAAAAAAGAGGAAGAGAGAATGAGAAACCTGAAACCCTAAACATCTTATACATATTTATATTTTTTTTAAAAAAAATTAATTAATAAAACGGGTTTCGGGTGGTGCCCGAAAAAATTTCCCCTCACCCACATCCGAACCGTTTTGTGAATGTGGTTTAGCGGGTGCACCCGAATTCACCCAATTAACTGATTACCCGACCCATTTCCTCGAATTCGGATTCGGTGTGGACGGTTATTCGGGTTAACCCGCTTAAGTGACACCCCTATGTATAGCTAAGCAACATTTTTATGATGCGTCATTAACTCCAATTCAGTGCTGGAGCATTGCTACCCATCCAAATAGGCCAACCTGTGCAGATCACTTTTATGTCATTCCATACAAGGTATGTTTGGATTTTTTTTAAGTGTGTACTTTTAAGTGTTTTTTATATTAGGAACACAAAATAGTATTGTACTGCTATCTTACTTAACCATCTTTTTCTTTTGATTTTAGCCCCTTTTATGTTCTCCTTTCGTTCGCAAATCTTGATAAATAATGATCCTATTCTAGATAAATAACAATACTAGACTAAAGAATAGATGTAGTTTTGTTAGCTGAATAATTATAACTTAATAAATGAATAAAATATCGTTAGTGGATGAATAATGCACAACAGAATGAATAACTTTGATTAAAAAAATTTACAAGAATATATTTTGCAATGAATTAATGTCAGCAACTAAGGTAACAAACTTCTAATTATGTATTATACTAGACAAAAAATGAACAAAAAAACTAGTCATTGTTTTTAACATTGAATAATTAAAAAAAACGATGACCTGCACGCGCTGAAACACGCGCCTTTGTGGGCGAAAATACTAAACACTGCGTGCGATTTTCACCTTCTTTTTTCTGAGCTTTCTGCGAACAATTGTACGCCTGTTGTGGCAAGAACGCAAAGGAAACGCAAGGGGAAAACTGTTGCAGTAGAAGAGGAGAAGTCGGAGGATGAAGTTCCAGATTTGACAGCGAATCTGAAGGATGGGGCTTCATCATCTAAGGTCGTGATGAATTCTTGTAAAAACCGTAACTCCCCAATTCTGCATAATCGAGCTCTAGAGTTGCTTTGTAATCAAACGATTGATCAGGAGGGGGATGGTTTGAATGAGAAATTAGGGGATAGGGTGTGTGAACCTGATAACCAGAAAACCACTAAGAGGGTGAGTCAATTACTTAAGGTAGAGACGAAACTTCATTTTGTCGAACCTTTGGTTGTTGATAGTAAGAAAGTGGCCAACATTAACCAGGTTGATATCCAATCTGAACTTGATTACTGGGAAACCTCTGTTTTGTGCTATGTCCTTGGATCTCACCCTCCTTACCAGGTGATGTGTGGGTATATAAAAAGAAATTGGGGGTTTCTAGGGATTGATAAGAGACTTCTAATGGATAATGGAATCTTTGTGGTTTAGTTTAAGGAAAAAGCTGTCAAGGAGAAAATCCTTCAACATTACATGTATCACTTTGACAATAATCCTTTTATTGTCAAAGATTGGTCACTTCAGGAAGGTATTAGGATGGAGGAAATATTGCGAGTACCTGTGTGGGTGAAGCTGCCAAGGTTGTACCTGAAGTATTGGAATGTTGAAGCACTTAGTAAAATTGTGAGTACTATTGGTGTACCACTGATGATGGATGATACCACATCTCAGAAAACTCGGGCAGATTTAGCTCGTGTAATGGTGGAAATGGAAATTTAAGAGCAGATGCCTACTGAGGTACTGTTTGAGAATGAGGTAGGCAATGTAATCACTCAGAAGCTGCAATATGATTGGTTACCGGTTAAGTGTTCTGTGTGTAAGGGCTTTGGACATACCCACACATCACCTGGTAAACTATGAAAAAGAAGTCAGAAAAGAAGGAGCTACAAAATACACAATCCAGAGGCCTAACCTCCGTGGATAATGCCTTATTCTAGAATGTAAGGGGACTAAATAATCCCCTGAAACACAGGGAGGTGCAACACTACCTCTCTGTTAATAAGGTGGGTTTAGCAGGGTTAGTGGAAACTAAATTAAGTGGAAAAAAGGTGAAGGAATTGATGGAAGGGAAGTGGCAACAGTTCAACTATTCTAGTAATCATAAAAGGGATGATAAAGACAGAATTTTAGTCTTATGGAGGAAACATGAGTATGATGTCAAAGTATTGATCTATGATGAACAAGTAGTGCACTGTGAAGTGTGGAATCTAACTACCCAATGCAGGTTTCTAATAACAGTTGTATATGGTGACTCACAACCAAGTATGAGGAACAAGTTATGGCAACAATTGATAAGGATTGGAAGCTCCATGCAACAAGAATGGATGATAGCTGGTGACTTCAACAGTGTATTATCAACAGATGAGAAAGTAGGTGGAACATCAGCAACTAGTACAGATGCTGACATGTTCCAACTAACAGTAGAACAATGTCAAATCTGGGATATGAAAACGAATGGTGCAGCTTTTACGTGGAATAATAAAAGAGTGGGAGGAGACAAAATTTTAGTAAGACTGAATAGAATTATGATTAATGAGATTTGGATTCATACATAGGAGAAAAGTTACGCCACAATGTTGAATGCTAGAGTTTCAGACCATTGTCCGCTACTTATTCAGTGGAAGCAGGAAACTCAAAAGAGGAATCCATCGTTTAAATTCTTCAATATGTGGTGTCAGAATTCACAATTGAAGTAGGTAATTGCCCAGCAGTGGGAATATAAGATTGATGGCTGTAAGCAGCTTCAGGTGGTGAAAAAATTACAGATGCTTAAAAGGAAACTTAGAGAGTTTAATAGAAAGGAGTTTTCAGAGATTGAAAAACAGGCCAATACAACTAAAGAGGAGTTGGAGGAGGTGCAGAAAATGCTTATGGCTGAGCCATGGAATGAAGTCTTACAGCGGAAAGAAAAGCAGCTGGTGGAAAGTTATACAATAAAGAGTAGAGCAGCAAGCAGTTTTTGGCAACAGAAATTAAAAGAGCGATGGATTAAAGAAGGAGATCAGAATACGGCATACTTTCATGCCAGCTTGAAGAAAAGAAGAATTCAGAATAGAATTATAACATTTCAAAATGAGGCAGGCACTTTGGAAATTAAGTGGAGTTTGTTGGAGCAACATTTTGTCAACTACTTTGAAACAATGTTGGGGAAAAAGGAATCTCGAATACCTACTAACAGAGAGATCTTTGAGGTGGGAAGGAAACTTTCTGTGGAAC